CCCGCGGGAGCGAGACCTGCCTGGGCAACTTGGTGAGACCTCATCTCTACAATAAAAATTTTTTAAAATTTAGCTGGGCGTGGTAGTGCACACCTGTAGTTCCAGCTACTTGGAAGGCTGAGGCGGAAGGATCGCTGGAGCCCAGCAGGTCGAGGCTGCGGTGGCCGGGAGCGGCCACAGCACTCCAGTCTGGGAGACAGAGTGAGACTCCAACTCAAAACAAACAAACAAAAAGATGTGGGGTACAATTCAAGGTTAGGTACATGTGGTCATCATATGGGTAAAATCCGAGCCTCCCTGTGGTCCCCACTTTGCCTGGTTTGAGATCAATTACCCTTATTGATGCTGTGTGTCACCCCCGACCGCTCTGGCAGTGTCCCACTATTGCCAATCAATTCCTTTCTTATAGAATTATGATAAATGTTCAAGGTCTGCCTATAAGTGAGTATATGTCGTATTCAGATAGTTGTTTATGTGATAGATCACTAAGTATTACAGACTCTAAACTGATAAATATATTTAAAGCCACAGAACTGATGACATCACCTAGAGTGAAACTGTGGTTAAAGCTGAGAGCCCAGGACTTAATAGCAGGGCCCTCCAATATTGAAAGGTAGAAAAGAGATTTATAAAAGAAGACTAGGAAGCAGCAGTCATGAGAGGAAAACCAATGTAGCACGGTATCACAGAAGTCAAGAACGAAAAGTGTCTTGAGGAGAGGGTTTACTATGCTGAATACTGTTGAATTCAGAAAGACAAAGAAGTTAGACTGGATTAGGCAATATGAAGGTCATTGGTGACTTAGACAAAAGCCATTTCAGTCAAGTCATTGGGCATAAGTCATCCTAGAACAAGTTGAAGAGTACATGGAATATGAAAAGGTAGAGAAAACTAGAATATTCTCACTTACATTAATTATCAACTAACTTTTAAAAACATAACTTTGTTTTAATTAATAATGTCTGTGAAATCTTGGGTTTGTGGTGTGGTATGTGTGTATTATATTAATATATAACTATTAAAATGTGTACTGCCTGAAATTACCTCATTAACTACTAACTGCACATGTGTCACACTTTAAGAAACAGACTTACCCTGTTAATCCATTAATTCTCAAAGAGGGGCCTGGGAACTTCTAGGGATCAGCAAGAATTTTTAGCAGGAGTTCTTAGACCACAGTTCATCTACATGGGAAGTTTAAGATTGTGTGAGTTTTGAGCGTGTGTGTATGTGGGGGAGGGCACCTATAGTGTATCAAAAGTGAGGAGCAAAATTGACCCAAACAAGTTGAAAACTTAGGCCCACACAAAAAACTATACATGGAGGTTTACAGAAGCTTTATTCATAATTGCTAAAACTTGGAAGCAACCAAGATGTCCCTCAGTAGGTGAAAGAATAAACTGGTACATCTAGATAATGGAATATTATTCAACACTAAGAAAACAATGAGTTATAGAGCCATGAAAAGACATAGAGGAATCTCAAATGCATATTACTAAGTGGAAGAAGCAAATACTGTATGAGTCCAACTAAATCATTCTGAAAATGGTAAAACTATAAAACAGTAAAAAGATTAGCAGTTGCAAGGGGTTAGGAAGCAGGGAGGGAAGAAAAAGCAGAGCACAGGGGATTTTTAAACAATTTTTGTGTAGGGACGGAGTGCGGGGAGGGGAGGGGAGGTCTCACTATGTTGCTCACAATGGTCTTGAACTCCTGCCCTCCAGTGATTCTCCTAACTTGGCTTCCCAACGTGGTGTGAGCCATCATGCCCAGCCAGAGCATAGTGGAATTTTAGAGTGGTGAAATAATTCTGTATGATACTGTACTGTATGTAATACTATAATGGTGCACACATGTCATATGACATACATGCATTGCACATTTGTTAAAACCTATAGAATGGTTGGGCTCAGTGGCTCACGCCTGTAATCCCAGCACTTTGGGACGCAGAGGCGAGAGGATTGCCTGAGCCCAGGGGTTCAAGACCAGCCTGGGTAACTTGGTGAGTCCTCCTCTCTACAATAAATAAAAAAACTAGCCGGGTGTGGTGGTATATGCCTATAGTTCAGCTACTTGGAAGGCTGAGGTGAAAGGATTGCCTGAGCCCAGCAGGTCAAGGTTGTGGTGGCTGTGAGCATGCTACTACACTCCAGCCTGGGTGACAGAGTGAGACTCTGACTCAAAAAAAAAATCCCTACAGAATTAACAACACCAATGCTGAACCTTAAACTATAAACTCTGGGTGATAATGATGTATGAATGGAGGTTTATCAAACATCCACTCTGGTGGGCAATGCTAATTGTGGCAGAGGCTGTGTATGGGGTTAGGCCGGGGGATATAAGAACTCTCAAACTTTCTGCTACATTTTGCTATGAACCTAAACCTCCTCTTAAAAATAAAGTTTAAGCCGGGCTCGGTGGCTCAGCCTATAATGCCGCACTTTGGGAGCCTGAGATGAGTGGATTGCCTGAGCCCGCGGGTTCAAGAACCACCTGGGCAACCTGGCAAGACCTCATCTCTACAATAATTCAAAAAATTAGCTGGGCGTGGTAGTGCGTGCCTGTAGTTCCGGCTACTCGGAAGGCTGAGGCGGAAGGATCGCCGGAGCCCAGCAGGTCGAGGCTGCGGTGACCGGGAGCAGCCACTGCACTCCAGTCTGGGTGACAGAGTGAGACTCTAACTCAAAAAAAAAAATAATAATAAATAAAGTTTATTTTTTAAAAGTGTGAGGGGCAGCTGGGCTCGGTGGCTCAGCCTGCAATCCTGCGCCTTTGGGAGGCTGAGGTAAGTGGATTGCCTGAGCCTGAGGGTTCGAGACCCGCCTGGGCAGCGAGACCTCATCTCTACAATAAATCAAAAAATCAGCCGGGCGTGGTAGCGCATGCCTGTAATTCCAGCTACTTGGAAGGTTGAGGCGGAAGGATCGCCGGAGCCCAGCAGGTCGAGGCTGCAGTGGCCGGGAGCAGCCACTGCACTCCAGTATGGGCGACAGAGTGAGACTCCAACTCAAAAAAAATAAATAAATAAATAAATAAATAAATAAATAAAAGTGTGAGGGGCTAAAATGATGGTAGAAAAAATAACACTATGTAACACAGAAGTAATTATTAACTACTATCATGGGAAAATAGAAATGAAAGTTGCTTTATTAGGACCTTTATTACTATGTCTCACCACAGCTATTTAACCTATTTCCCACTACTATCACTCTTTTTTTTCTTTTTTCTTTTTGAGTTGGAGTCCCACTCTGTCGTCCAGGCTGGAGTGCAGTGGCACGCTCATGGTCACCCCAGCGTCAACCAGCTGGGTTCCAGCAATCCTTCTGCCTCAGCCTCCCAAGTAGCAAGAACTACAGGTACGTGCTACCACACCCGGCTAATTTTTTATTTTACTGAAGGGATGAGGTCTCACCAAGTTGACCCAGGCTGGCCTCGAACCAATATGCTCAGGCAATTCACTTGCCTTGGCCTCCCAAAATGCTGGGATTACAGGCTGAGCCACCAAGCCCAGCCTACTATCATTCTTAATTCAGTCTTCTAGCCGAACCAATCACATCTTTTTTTATTTTTTATTTTTATTTTTGAGTTGGAGTCTCACTCTCTCACCCAGGCTAGAGGGCAGTGGCATGCTCTTGGCCACTGCAGCTTGATCTGCTGGGATCAGGGGATCCTTCCGCCTCAACCTTCCAAGTAGCTGGAACTACAGGCACGTGCTACCACGCCCGGTTAATTTTTTTAAATTTATTTGAGAGATGAGGTCTCGTCAAGTTGCCCAGGCTGGTCTCGAACCCGAGGGCTCAGGCAATCCTCTCACTGCGGCATCCCAAAGTGCTGGGATTATAGGCGTGAGTCACCGCTCCCGGTCTTTTATTTTTTTCAAGCACATCTTTTTATACGACACTCTGTTTCACATCTAAGCTGTGATGCAAACTGTCCCTAAACCTACCTCTTGCCCTAGCTTCCATTCTCCTATTCTTAGTATTCTTGTCTGTTCAGGTTGAACTCATCTTCAAAGGTTTAAGTCAACTTCTTTTGTGACACTTACCATCTACACTAACCTGAAACATTCTCTTCCTCTGAAAACCCATTATGTTTACCTTAGGAATCACTAATTTCCGGCCCGACGCAGTAGCTCAAGCCTGTAATCCCAGCACTTTGGGAGGCCGAGGCAAGAGGATTGCCTGAGCTCAGGGGTCCGAGACCAGCCTGAACAACATAGTGAGACCTCGTCTCTACAGTAAATCAAAAAGTTAGCCGGGTGTGGTGACACTTGCCTACGATTCCAGTTACTTGGAAGGCTGAGGTGGAAGGATTGCCTGAGCCCAGCAGGTCAAGGCTGTGGTGGCCATGGGCGTGCCACTGCACTCCAGCCTGGGCGACAACTTAAAAAAAAATAAAAGGAATCACTAATTTGTCGGGCATCGTGATACATGCCTGTAGTCCCAGCTACCCAGGAGGCTGAAGCAGGAGGATTGCTTGAGCCTAGGAGCTTGGGGGCAGGCTGGGCTACATAGGGAGAACCTGTCTCCATAAACAAACCAACAGAGTTGCTAATTCATCTTGACCAAAATATTACTGTTCTCTAAATGTTTTATAGGCATTTGTTTCGTCTGCTAAATTAGATTGTATCTACTCCAATGCAGTGACTATGACATACAGTTCCTCCTGTAGATTCCAAAGTGTCAGAAACATAACAGGTACAGAATAAACATTAATCATAAGGTGGAAATAGAAATACCATCTACAGAGCAGGAGAGAATGAGGAAGAAAAGGAGAAATCAAGGCAAACACTGAAGGGGGCTTAAGAAAATAAAACAAGCTCACATCTCATTATCAACTTACTGGGCATCTGCTCGGGAGAGCCGAGGTTTATGGAGTTGTCAGCAGCACCCACCGCCACTCCATTGATGGAAGAACTGCAATCTGCAATGACTCCCAAGCAGGCTGAGCGTCCACAATCCCAAAGTCGTGCTGACCCATCCCGAGAACCAGACACCACATTCCTCCCCCGATCAACAATGGCTGTATCCAGGATACCTGGCAAGAGAAAATGGAAGAAGCAGTAAAGAAACTACAAGAGTAGAGAAGATGGAACTGCATAAATGTTCTTTTTATTATTATTATTATTATTATTTTTTGAGTTGGAGTCTCACTCTGTCACCTAGACTGGAGTGCAGTGGCCGCTCCCGGCCACTGCAGCCTCGACCTGCTGGGCTCTGGTGATCCTTCCGCCTCAGCCTTCCAAGTAGCTGGAACTAGAGGCACGCGCTACCACACCTGGCTAATTTTTGATTTATTGTAGAGATGAGGTCTTGCCAAGTTGCCCAGGTGAGTCTTGAACCCGCAGGCTCAGGCAAATCCACTCACCTCAGCCTCCCAAGGCACGGGATTACGGGCTGAGCCACTGAGCCCAGTTTTATAAATGTTCTGAACATGAGCATATGCTGGGCACGTTCAAGTGCTAGAAAAAAAGAAAAAACAGAAAGAGTCTCTGCTTCCCAATAGTTTAAAGACTAGCTATGAAAGATGGTCTTAAAAAGTTGGCTCTGGGTTTAACTTTTAGTGGAGTGTTCTACAGCAGTGGTTTTCAAGTTTTTGTTTTGACTTCAAAACCCTTTTTTAAAGTAAAAATTAAGTAGACACTGTAGAGAGTTCAGATTGAGATTCGCTGCTTTAAAAGATCCTGCTGCTTCCACTGATAATGGATTAAAAGGGTTAGCTCCTCATTTGAAAGAAAGAATATGACTTCTGGTTTTCTCCAAGATGGAGCAGCCCCATTTATTCCAGGTCCTTTCCTTTACGACTAAAAAAACATGGACATAGCAAGCACAGGAAGATTTGGAATGATAAAAAGAAGGTGGCAGACTACTCAGAGACTCATGACAAGACCAACATGGCAATGAGTTCCCTGGATTTCCTTACTGCCTCCCATATATCCTGAACAGAACACAACAGAAGCCTCCAACATAGAAAGGCCCACAGGTACAGATTAAAAAACAAACAAAAAACTCCCAGAAGAGTCTGTTGCCCCTAGCCAAAAGATTGGGAAGAGGTGACCTCACTGAATAAAAAACCATCTTGGTAACATCCACCCTACTCCAATAGACTCCAACAGAAAAACTGCTACTTTCCTCCCCCATGGTTTCAGAAGGGCTGAACAGTGTCTTCTACCCCATCCCCATGGAAGTAGGTGGTAGCCCTCCAATTCCCCTACCCAATGGGGTTAACAAGGTTAAGCAGGGTACTCTCAGCAGGGTACCTGGCAGGTACAGGTAGAAAAGGCAGGATCAGGTGGTGGGAGGTAGCACTCTACTTTTCCCAACTCCTCCCCTGGTGACAGTCAGCAGGCAACTGAGCTTATAACTCCACTAGAAGGCCACGAAGTGGTGCAAGTCAGTGTCCTACTTTCACCAAGAGGACATGTCGGCAGGACCAAGGAGGAAGCTGAACTCCTACCTCCTCTGTCTGCAGTGTGAGTCAGTGTGACTGTGAGGTGGTGTGAGGCAGTGCGAGGCGGTATAAGGTGATGTGAAGTGGTGTGAGGCAGTGTGAGGCAGTGCTCCACTTTTGCCAGAGTAGTGTTGGAGAAGCCCAGTAGGAAGCTGAACATTCGCATCTACTCAGTCCTTGTACCACACCTCAACAGAAGACTGCCTGCTAAAAAGGATGATAGAATTAAGATCTTCAGTGTTAGAATATAATGTCTAAAATGTCCATGGGTTTTAGAATTTTTAAAGCCCTTTATTATCCATCATCTGAATATATGCAATACTTGCTAATATTTGGTCTATAGCCTAGGAATACACAGCAAAAAGAGAGATAGTCATTATGTAAAGACTTGCAAAACCCAGGCACAGGTACAGAAACACAGGGTTGTACAGAGTAGAAAGGCAGCAATACAACCCTATGGTGATTCAGGCTGGGCTAGTATTTGTTTTATTAAAACTCATTTAACTGGGCACCGGCAGGGCTCACGCCTATAATCCCAGCACTTCAAGAGGCAGAAGTGGAAGGATTTGCTTGAAGTTCAAGACCAGCCCGGGCAACATAGCGATACATCATCTCTACAAAATTTCAAAAAAATTAGCTGGGTATGATGGGACGTGCCTATAGTTGACTACCAGTTATTCTGGAGGCTGAGGTAAAAGGACTGCCTGAGCCCAAGAGGACAAGGCTGTGGTGAGCCATGATTGTGCCACTGCACTCCAACCAAGGCAACAGACTGAGTTCCTGACTCAAAATCAGTCAATCAATCAATAAACACACATATAACCAAGCCTATTGTAGGTACCCAATAAATTATGAGTACTTGATCAAAGGTCACTTAGTTAATTGATGATCTTGAGCACACTCCCATTCCTCTTAAGATGAAGTGACTTCAGGTACATAAACCTTGACAAAAAACTCCACAGCAACTCAACACAACATACAGGTGACAATCCTATGTGATTAATCAAATGTCTCTCAACTCTTACTGGAAATGTCACTTTGAAACCTTTGTTCAGAAAAAAGATGAGTTTATGAACACTAACTTTTAAAAGTAGCAAATTTAGGGTCTACTTGGGAAAATATGATTAGAAACATCTCAGGTGGGAACTAATTACTACAGTGTAACTTACCAAATAGGTCCAATTTAAAATAAAAGCTAAATACAATTTACATAGCTGACAATAGTTCTGGAAAAATAAAATGTAATTCTCTCAATAATACATACTCTGGCTAAAGACCATTGAAGATTTTTTTTTTTTTTTGAGTCAATGTCTCACTCTGTTGCCCAGGCTGGAATACAGCGGCATGCACACAGCCACTGCAGTCTCGACTTGCTGGACTCAGGCGATTCTTCCACCTCAGCCTTCCAAGTAGCTGGAAATACAGGTGGGCACCAGCATGCCTGACTTATTTTTTGATTTATCGTAGAGACGAGGTCTCGCCAAGTTGCCTAGGCTGGTCTCAAACCTCTGAGCTCAGGCAATCCTCTTATCTCGGATAGGATTACAGGCTTAAGCTATCATGCCCAGCCTTAGAGATAAGATTTTTTTAAATAGCCTTCCCCTCAGAAAACGATATATGGAGCCAACATGTGTTGCTGCTACTTTGTTTCTTATTTACAACATATTTTGTAATTGGTTACTAAAGATTTTGAGTTTGAGAAATCTACCTTTCTACTCTAACTCTATAATACATTCAGCAAAAATCTAGCTAAAAAGGGATTTTAGAACTTTAAAGAATCCTAAGGAATAATAAGGAAGGAGCCTTCAGCTCTTATTAAGCAATCAAAGATCTTTTTGTATCTTTAGGAAAGTTTCAACTGCTATTTAAAAATGTTAGAGTTGGCCAGGCACAGTGGCTCATTTCTGTAATCCCACCACTTTGGGAGACTGAGGTGGGAGGATTGCTTGAGTCAGGATTGTTTGAGACCAGCCTGGGCCACATAGCAAGACATCATTGCTACAAAGATAAAAATAAAAATAAAAAATAAAAATGTTAGAGCTCCATGGAAGTAATACAAGCTTTTGGAAAAACCAGTTCTGAAAAGCACATACCCAAGGCAAGATTGCTACAGCAGTGGCTAGAGAGCTGTCACTAGTACAGTGTTAACTGTGTATACATTTTAAGTAACACTCAGCAAAGAGCTGCCATCTAGAGAGTTTCCCTTTCCTATAAAAGCAGAGCGGAAAATTATCACCTCTCTCTAATAAAATGTCACTGACAATATAATGGCATCTAGTGTGGGTCTTTTCACACTTACATGACAAGAATAAAGGAAAGAGGAGCCCTACAGGAGCGGGAATCTATGAGGAATTACTTTAGAAAGAAGCTATGAAAGTAGTAATTTCAAAACACCTTGTAATAGAAGCAGCCATAGCTAACACCTACCAGAAACTACCACAGGCTTTAGAAACAAACCAAACAGCTACAAGGCTTCAACATATAATCAAGACACAAAAGTAATTGTTGCCAAGAAAAGATACAGTTGAATCACCTATAAGCATTCCAGCCAAAATCTGAGAAATAATTATAATATTGGATGAAACTATTTGTTTTTTTGGTTTTTATTTTATTTTACTTTTATTTTAGATGAAACTATTCGTAAGAAATAGGAGCAAATTTTATATTTCTAGGTGTATATTTTTAGCAAGTTTATTAAAATTATCTAGTCTTACTAACATTAAATATTAACATATTACTAACATTTTGATGTCACTATGGAGCAATAAACATACATGTGTACATGGGAAAAAAATGGCTTGTGACTCAGATCTCTGAAAAAAATAAGACTTGAATCAAGCACCTCCTGTTACTTGGAGGCTGCATAGCTTATATCTAAGAAAGTGTCTAAGAGTTTGAAAATAATGGCCCAGCCGGGCTTGGTGGCTCAGCCTGTAATCCCGCGCCTTGGGAGGCTGAGATGAGTGGACTGCCTGAGCCCATGGGTTCAAGACCCGTCTGGGCAACTTGGCGATACCTCATCTCTACAATAAATCAAAAATTAGCCGGGCGTGGTAGTGTGCGCCTGTAGTTCCAGTTACTTGGAAGACTGAGGCAGAAGGATCGCCGGAGCCCAGTAGGTCGAGGATGCGGTGGCCGGGAGCGGCCACTGCACTCCAGTCTGGGCGACAGAGTGAGACTCCAACTCACAAAAAAAAAAAAAAAAAAAAGAAAAGAATGGCCCAAGTGCTGAAACTGTAACTTGCTTTCTTTAAAGTATTCTACAAATGTATGCATTTCCACTACCCTGATGAACAACAACAAAAATCCAACCAAGGGCTTATTATAAAAAATTAGGATTGCAAATGTATATCTCCAAATTTAACAACCTTAATTAAATGACCTGGACAACTTGGCTTCACACTGACCAAACTGATTTTTTAGCTACTTATTAATCTCATATATTATCTTGATTTCAGGCACTAAGTAAAAAACAAAGCAAGAATAAACTACTTTTAATTTATCTTTCCATTTGAAAATTTCAGAATAAACAGAGAAACCTTATCTCTGCATGTTAATTTACAGTAATTTGGCCAGGCTCAATGGCTCAACCTGTAATCCCAGCACTTTGAGAAGCTGAGGTGAGTAGACTGCCTGAGTCCGCGGGTTTGAGGCCAGCCAGGGCAACTTGGCGAGCCCTCATCTCTACAATAAATAAAAAATTAGCTGAGCATGGTAGCACACACCTGTAGTTCTGGCTGCTTGGAAGGCTGAGGCAGAAGGATCACCTGAGCCCAGCAGGTTGAGGCTGCAGTGGCCGTAAGTATGCCACTGTACTCTAGCCTGGGCATCAGTGAGACTCCAACTCCAAAAAATAAAATAGTAAAATAAATAAAAAAGAATACACTAATTCTTTAATTATATATATTAAAAAATATCTAAAGTATTAGGGGATCAATTACATAACTAAGTCATATTTTTTTCTATTGTAAAATGCCTCATCTACTAGAAATAACTATTTCTGCTTTTCACATTTGACAAGTACATTAAAATATAACAAGACTCACATTTCTTGGCAGATATTAAAGCTGTTTTATATTTTATATGAACAGTAATATTTGTTGTGTACTTACTATATGCCAGGAATCTGGCTAAGTCCTTCATATGTGCCCTCTCGTTTAATACTACTGTCCCCATTTTACACATGAAGAAATTAAGGCTCAGAAAAGTTAAGCAATTTTCCAAGGTCATACTTTGTAAGTGGCAGAGTTAAGATTTCAAACAGGATTTATCTGCCACAACTGCATGCTTAACTACTGTACTCTACTGCCTCCCTTACTATTGTGTTTTCATATACTAAACACAGAAGCAAGCCAGGGATTTAATTAAGCTTACAAAAAGCTATCCTTTACAATAAGTCTATATACACAACTTTATTCGTTTTTTTCTTTAGGGATAGGGTTTTGCTCTGTTGCTCAGGCTGGAGTACAGTGGCACAATCATAGCTCACTGCAACTTCAAACTTCCAGGCGCAAGCAATTCTCCTGCCTCAGTCTCCCGAGTAGCTAGGACTAAAGGCTCATGCCACCAGGCTAGCTTTTTTATTTTTTATAGAGACAGAGTCTCACTATGTTGCCCAGACTGGTCTCAAACTGCCGGGGATTACAAATGTTAGTCACTGTGCCCAGTCCTGTATTAGTTTCCGAAAGGTTCTCTGTAATAAGTATCAGGATATATTTAGACCAGTCTTTCTTGTATTTTCTTTTCATATAATGCTTATCGGAGACTTATCCTAAGTAATAAAGGAGTCTCACTCTGTTGCCCAGAATAGAGTGCAGTGGAACACTCACAGTTACCAGCAGCTACATGCTGGGCTTAGGCAATCCTTCCACCTCAGTCTTCCAAGTAGCTGGAACTATAGACATGCATCACCATGGCTGTCTAATTTTTTTATTTATTGTACAGACGAGGTCTAGCCAAGTTGCCCAGGCTGGTGCTTCTCTTATTTAGTTACCACTTGTGACCCATTAAATGTAACAAATGCAGGTAATAAGTTTTCTATTTTTCTTTTTGTATGGCTCATGGCTTTGGCTTTGGCTAATAAAAAGCTGGCATACTCTTACCCCTCACTTCAGGACTTTCTTACAAGGCAAAAAGAATGAAACAACTACATGAATAAAAGCTTAAATCTAATCTCACATTCTGCTATTCTCTGTAAGCTAAGGGTCATATACATATTGTTAGGGAGATCTGAAGAATGTTGGAGACTTAGTGAAGATTCATGTGGAAGGCACACTAACTGCAGTGATCCAAAGGTATTATTCATAAACTGAATGTCCATCGATGTTGAATATGTATCTTGTTAAGCTAAATGTGCAGTCATGACTTGTTCCACTGAAAAGTTTCCCTGGGCTCCAGGAATCCCCAATTTTGTAGGCCACTCTGACTCCTGAAACTTGTCAGTTCTTTAGGAAGTGATGAGTTATTCAGTAATGTGAGGAAGGCTCTGAATATTATTTCCATTCCCTCTCAATGTTCCCATTTAAATTACAGTCATAGAAATAAATCATTTATTTGCTAAGGTTAACATGCGTGTTGCTAGATCAAGTACACTCAATCTAACAAACCCTTATAAAGAAATATTAAAACTTAAAATTTGATCTCCACATACAAGTTACTCACAATGTAGTGGGGGTTCACAAGGCAAAAAACACAGGGTTAAATACCATAAGTACAGGGTAATAAATTAACTCCCAAATGAATGGTATAGACAATACGTATTATGTTTCAAAGGAGGGATCAAGGTAAGGCATTATTAGGGAATTATTATTACATTTTTAAAATATTCAGCTGGGTGTGGTGGCACGCCTATAATCCCAGCACTTTGGGAGGCTGAGGTGAGAGGACTGCCTGAGCCCAGGGGTTCGAGACCAGCCTGGCAACTTGGCAAGACCTCATCTCTACAATAAGTTAAAAAATTAGCCAGGCATGGTGGCGTGTGCCTGTAGTTCTGGCTACTTGGAAGGATCGCCTGAGCCTAGCAGATCAAGGCTGCACTTGCCGTGAGTGTGCCATTGCACTCCAGGCTGGACGACAGAGTGAGACTCCAACTCAAAAAAAAAAATTCAAATTTGCAAAATTATAGAACATATTATCACCTTTTTAATAGTCCAATTAAGGATAAAACATCTAAATTAAATTTTTGTCCCACAAACCAACTAGTAAGTTTCAAAGGGAGAATGTTCTCACTCTGTCTCTACAATCTGATATTATCAGTTATATGGCTAATCCATTTAAAAAATATGAACTGTAATTTAAATTCATGGGAATCACCAAGCTCTGTCTTTGATCTTTGGTGACACAGTCATTCACCACCAGCATTCACTGTCATCTCAGCCAAAGGACTATCAATGAGAAAATTTAGGCAGACCTTTCACTCTTTCTTTTTTTCTCCAGCACATAAGAAGATGACCTCCTAGGGAGGATTTTTCTTTTCTTTGTCAATTGTGGAAAACAACTATTTGTGTAAAACAGTTAGTTCTAGATAGCAATAACAAGACTGACTAGCAAAAAAATTTCTAGTCCTTGGGGAAATAATAGCTCATCTAAACGGCGAGTTGGGTAAATTATTTCTGTGTTTGTGAATAGCTTGTTTCCAACTTTTTGGTGAATCATCTCTGGGGATCATTAGAGAACTCCTTTGAAGAAACCACCCTTCATACCTCCTTTATGACCTTTGAAGGTCACCACACAGCTAGCATCTTCAGCTGACCAGATCTTCAGCTGGGCATCCATTCCCCCACTCAGAACCACAAGGCCTGACGGGAAAAACCTGCAACAATTCACATCAAACACATGTCCTTCCAATACTCTCTGGAAAAACAAAAGAAAATTCCATGCTAGTTCTCTTCTTGTCCATCCCTCGATGTTTTCTCACCTCCCATATCTTTGGTTCCTTAAATGAAATACCTACTTGCTATATCCACATGCTGGGTTTTAAAACTAAGGATGTCCAAAGGATCTTAGTTCATTTGTCTACCAGGTAGTGTTCTAAGAGAGACTGGCTTCCTTTCCTGGAATTCAGCTGCAGATCTTACAGAAATGAATTCCATGGCTCTCACAGTCATTTCCAGGTCTATTTATTTATTTATTTATTTATTTATTTATTTATTTAGAGTAGGAGTCTCACTCTGTCACCCAGGCTTGAGTGCAGTGGCATGCTTACAGCAACTGTAGCCTTGCTGGGCTCAGGCGATCCTTCTGTCGCAGCCTCCAAGTAGCTGGAACCACAGGCATGCACCACCAAGCCCAGCTAATTTTTTGTTTTATTGTAGAAATGAGATCTCAGCAAGTTGTCCAGGCTGGTCTCAAACCCATGGGCTCAGGCAATCCTCTTGCCTCAGCCTCTGAAAGTGCTGGGATTGCGGGCATGAGCCGCCACGCCTGGCTCTAGGTCTACTTCTAAGTATAAGAAGCTGATGAGGCTTGGGGACTCCTCTACTCATCTCATCTTAAAATCCTCTGTATAGGCTGGAGACTCAGCCATATAGTCAGTCTAACAGCCTAGATATTCTGTCTTGGAAACCCATCACCGAAGGCAGTTCAAACCAAGGGAACACCCACTTACACATTCAGTGTCCTTCCTCAACTGCTCTAGCCCCACTCTGTTCTGGCTAATCACTAAGATTGAGAATGATTCTCCAATTAACAAATGCAAGAACAGAGATCAGCTGAAGTGCAGTGGTCCTACATTTTTTTTTTTGAGTTGGAGTCTCGCTCTGTCGCCCAGACTGGAATGCGTTGGCCGCTCCTGGCCACCGCAGCCTCTACCTGCTGGGCTCCGGCGATCCTTCCGCCTCAGCCTTCCGAGTAGCTGGAATTACAGGCATGCGCTACCACGCCCGGCTGATTTTTGATTTATTGTAGAGCTGAGGTCTCGCTGCCCAGGCGGGTCTCGAACCCGCAGGCTCAGGCAATCCACTCACCTCAGCCTCCCAAAGGCGTGGGATTACAGGCTGAGCCACCGAGCCCGGCTGGTCCTACATTTTTAGAATGAGCCACTCTTCCTTCCATGATCAAATCCATGGTTTCTCAGACCACCCTTCATATATAAGACTCTAAAAATATATCTAAATCCTTTACTCTGAGTTCTCCATTGAAAGCCTGCCAGATCTTCATGCTTCCATCAGTACTAGAAGACACACCAAGGCCTCCTCCACTGGAAATGTCCAGGCATGTTATCTGTACAGAAGACAAAATAATCAATGTGTAAGAAATAATGAAATGATTTTTCCCTTGAAATATGTTATATATCTCCCTTATTTCACATTCTTCCAAAATTTCTTCAAGCCTATGCCTTCCAACATAAAAGACACATGTTTGATGTAAAAGTTGAATTATTACCACCAACCTCCCAACAAGGATGGAGCCAACACCTTTCATTTCTTCAAACAAAAAGGTATTCCTGCTTCCACTGATTACTACAAGGACTTTGGCTTTCTTCTAATAAACCATAAATGGAAGACACAATATATAATTTCCAGTTTTTTACTCACATTTGCAAAGCAATCTAAGAGCAAAAATTCAACTAGGATTTTTGTTGTTGTTGTTTTTGTTTTTGTAGAGATGGGGGTCTCATTATGTTGCCCAGGCTGGTCTTGAACTCCTGGCCTCTAGTGATCCTCCCACATCCTAAAATGCTAAGATTACAGGGGTGAGCCACTCCTGCCTGGCACCAACTAGGGGTTTAAAAAGATTTTTTTTTTCCCCATAACATCTTATATTTATGTTGCCTACCTATACCATTAATAGCAGTGTTTTTAAAAGTTCATTTTTGTCAAGTCTTTACAAAGCAATCAACTTAATTCTCAAAGAAATAATTGCTCTCTGCCTTTCATACTCCTATTTCATTGGTTTAATTAGCTTATTCAATTAATTTTTATATATATATATATATATATATATTTTTTTTTTTATTTTTTTTTTTTTTGAGTTGGAGTTTCACTCTGTCACCCAGACTGGAGTGCA